ACGTCCACAAAATATACCCACTGGACAAGCAGAAGCTTTGTCCTTGCTATGGTGGGAATTCGGGTGGGGTTACGGGTTTTCGACAAAGGAAACCAAGATGCATAAGGTTGAGAATCTCTAGGGTAGGCGGCAGAGTTTAAAGCAAGACCGTGGCTAAGTGACATGGAAAGTTATTGCGAATATGTTGTGATTCTGATCAGTTGTGTAATTCACATAATTAGGTAATGGAGCACTGAATTGACGCTTGTTAAATCTGAACTTGAGCTTAACAGTCTCAAATCGCCCTGTGATGAGTTAAAAGGAATAATTTTCCACTTAGCCTCCAGTAGCAGCCGTGCACTCCTTGTGACCCGGTTATGCATTTGCTCCTTTCCGACAGCAGTTATCCAATTTCGCTCGGTAGAAAGATCGATGGTTGCAGCCGCATAGGCGTTCTTTACTTTTACATCCTGTGATAGATACATGAAATAACTGACACCACGGCACAGAACCTTCTTTCCTCACTTCATACTTACTCAAGCTTCAAAAAAGTCAAATAATTAACGAAACGTAAAAGCAGCAACCATCACCGCTAAACCTCACATGTGGGGCACAAGTCCATATAACATCTTGAAGGCTACATACCCTGTTACAGTTCACTACGAGTTCGAAACGCAAGAAGCACATACTTAGGCATAGTTGGCTGAGGCACTATGCTACAAGCCGCAAGGTCGCGAGTTCGATTACCGATTGGGTCACTGGATTCTTCAGTTGATCTAATTGCAGCCGCACTAAGGCCTTAGGGTCGACTGAGCCTCTAACAGAATGAGTACCAGGAATCTTCCTCGGGGTAAAGGGCGGCCGGCGCGTAAGGCTGTGAGCCGATTGTCTAGAAAATGTAGAAGCCTCGACGTTTCACAACACTATGGGCCTTCACGTCCTGTTACAGGGATACCTTTACCATTTTTTGCCTACATAGTATGTTTCTCCCCGTGCGGAGGCGGGTTAGAATACCTCCACCGTAGCCCTGCGAGTCGTAGAAGACGATGAAAAGGGAACCCGGTGCCTGGGGGTGTAACTTGACCACCCCCTTACTGGGGGACATAAATACGGAAACCTGGTCCTTCACGTTGGGGGTCTCACGCAAGGTTAACAACCTTGTTCTATAGAAAAATATTGTTGCGAAATCCAAAAAAGTGGAAACCGATGCAATGTGGCAGAATGTTCTAAGGAAGGCGATGATTCAAAAAGCGTTGTTTTGCCCCTGATGATAATGGTGATGAACTAATATGCTTCATCCAAACACGTTTAACTATACCTATATATTTATTATACCAACCGTTTTGTAAGGATGTCATAAACACATATATTATTTATTCCGACTACATGTTTCGACCGTATGTCGATAAAAACAAATACAGATTACTGCTGAAACATATTTAGACCCATGTCTTTGTTAAAATATAATCATGTTATATTTCGAATCCGACCAATCAAACTTGTGTTAAAAAATCAGTACATACGAGTATGCGTATGCATGTTTTAGCAATAATCTATTTGTGTTTTCACCCGATAACTCTATGTGGTCGAAACATGTGCTGTGAAGAAATAATAAATAACCTAAGTTTTTGTTACATGTTTGTGATATAATGACCGCCTCTGTGGTCTAGTGGTCAGAGTTCCTGGCTACAGATCCAAAGGTCCGGGTTCGATTCCCGGCGCTACCACATTTTCTGAGTAGTAGGTCTGGAACGGGTCCACTCAGCCTCGTGAGGATAACTGAGGAGCTATTTCAAGGAAATAGCAGCTCCGGTCTAGAAAACCGAGATTAACGGCCGTGGGGATCCGTTGCGCTGACCACGTGACACCCTCTATCCGCAAAAGTTGGCACTAACTTCACCCGCAAGCGGCGGTAGCTCGGTTGGTATAGTTCGATTGCGGACTACAGTCCAAGAATTTTTGTTTGTGATATAATACACATACATATCCTATTGAAGACACAAGCAGGATGCAACATTGCAAAAAAGTTTTCACTAATGTAACTAGTTTTCTGGGTATAAAAATGGTGGGAAATATTTATTTCCTAGCAGCATGAAACATTTTCAGAAAAACGTAATTATCCGAAGTAAATACTGATAGAGATATTTACTGATCGTCATAATTGCCTCCTTGTCGTAACATCTAAACAGAGATTATGTGAATAATGTCACGTACGTACTATGTGAGGAGCTTAAGACACTCCCAATTTGAAACAACTACAATTAAGTTAACTTTCCTGACTCCTATACATGCATGGCAATGCCACAACCCAAGTCCAGTCCCCTGCCAGTGAGGAGACCGAGCCACTAAGGCAGGTTTTGCTAGGCTTGCTATGGCCAGATCTAGCAGATGCTGACTGGGTGTTATATTGCGTGTGATTCATATGTAAGTCATGAGATGGCACAAGCATGCAGAGCACGTGCCTTGTGATGCATTCCCCTCGTTTCGATTTACAGTAATTATGGGCTAAAAATCGGCAGTGTCCGACAACTTTTAGTGCATGTCCCCCACGCCAAATTGCATCAGAATCTGTCAAACTGCTTATAGGGTACACTGATGAGTACATTTGTGACATTATACAGATAGATTTTGTAATCAATCAAAGGGCCTATGACTGAAAATCAAAATTATCGACTTTGAAATTAAATGTCTATTTACATCTATAAGTACAATTGATTTTATTATGTGTCAATGTGGCTGAAAATTGCAACTGCTCGATAACTTTAAGTATAGATATTCAAGATAACGTAGTTGGTATAGCGACTAGCTACGGGCTGAACGACCGAGGGGTCGGAGTTCGAGTCCCGATAGGATAAAGAATTTTATCTTTTCCACGTAGTTGAGACCGGCCGGGGCGTGAAGCAAACCACTTTCCTCCAGCTAGTGCCGAGGTAAAGAAAATGTGGACCTATACATCCACTCCCCCATACGCCTTCACGGTGTAGTGATTAATTAGTGAAGCTCAGGAACAACTTTACCTTTTACAGGTATTCCATGTAAAATCAAAAGTCTAGCCAACGGTTGGAACGTTGGTATCAGGTCACAGACGGACAGATATAACTTACAAAATAAGTAATTTCTATTACTTTTAAGGGAACGCCTAAAAGAGTAATAATATGTGCAAGAACAGCTTAACTGTACGTTCTTCATTTCTTGAGACATCTTCCGAATGTACCAAATCACTATTCTCCATTTCATTGATGATGATGTCCTGTAGGCACTGTATAAATATGAATGGTAACAACATAATTCCACAAACTTCAAGTTGTGCGCTTCTGGATACCGGGTCATCTTGTTCTCTCAAGCTGCGAAACAAGTTGGGCAATGCTCCACTCACTCGCCGCAAGATACGTTGGTTCAACTGTAGCTGGAATTGCACTTAATGGAATTCGAATAATTTGCTGTTTGCATTCATTCGCTCCCGTTTTCAAGAGAAAATTGAACTGGAGCGCGCATTATGCAAACCCGCCTTAAGTTCCAGGCGTTCAGTCCAACGCCATGCTCATGCGGCAGCGTTTTCGACACAGCTGTGATGCGGAACAGTCTAAGCGATCTGAGGCGGTGCAACTTCGTACAGGACTCGGCAAGAAGAGCAGTAAAATCTTTATAAAACACGATGTTTATGGGCCATTAAAAATCATGACACAATAAAAATAAAGAGGCTCGAACTTGAGGAGCCGGGTTAGCGTAGTCGGTATAGTGATTGGCTACGGCCTGCATGACCGAGGGGTCGGAGTTCGAGTCCCGGTAGGGTCAAGAATTTTCTCTTCTTCACGCTGTCCAGACCGGCTCTGGGGTCCACCCAACCTCCTATCCAATGCATACCGGGGGCTCTTTCCTCGGAGATAAAGCGGCCGGAGCGTGAAGCTGACCATTCACCTCCAGCTAGTGCCGATGTCAAGAAAATGTGGATCTATACGTCCATTCCCTCATACTCCTTCATTGTGTAGTGCTTAATTAGTTAAGCACAGGACAATTTTACTTTTACCTTTACGACGCAAACTTGAGATAAGACGAAATCAATTAAATATAATTGCCAGTCCCTTTACAACGAATAAACGCCAGGAAGGTAGATGCGTTACCGCGATCATCTCCTAGGATGTCGCACAGCGTGGCAAAAAGAGAACTAACATTTTTCGTTCTTCGCCATAATCATCAGGCATCCCATGTCTGAAATGTGGTTTCATAAGTAAACCGCTATGGCCATAGCTGAGGAACAAAATTTCACAACTAAATCATGAGCACTCAGATGGTTAAAGTATACCTGTTTACTTGATATAATGTCTTCCTTTCATATTTAACTGCCACTCAGCTCCTATTACTCTTTTTAGGAAAATCGAAGGTCCATTACGAAGTTACAAAAAAACCGCCGATGGACCTATCTTATGCCACATGACTGTAATCAATAACACAAAACTTCTCTAAATTACATTTTAATATTATCTTCTCATATATACGCTTAGGTTCCCTAAGGGTTTCTTTCCTTGACTTTTTCCAATGAAAATGACGTGCCTTTCACTGCCTGTACGCACACTACACGTCATACCAATCTCGACCTTCTTCATTTAGCACAGGAACTGAATTTAAGGGAATGGATACAATTATATAATGAAGAACTTCACAATCTGCAGTTCTTAAGGCCAGTTTTCATCTTATTTTTCAACAAACAATTTGGTCCTCGAAATGACTTCTTTCTATATGGTTATTTGACCAAAGAGTTTGCCCACAAAAATACAGTGCCCCAGCTTCTAGCAGTCCCCCTCCCCTTCCTGCATGGGGTCACCGCTGATATATTTTTGTTGTGTAATTTTTCTGAAAACGGCCAGGAACAGACAGCGGCATCAGCAGGAAGAGCTCAGTGCGTAACATGTCCAGGAGGGGGATAGAAGATTCTTACGGTGGAGATCATGCTCGCTCGCGGGCCCCATGTGATGTTCCCCCCACCCCCAGACATCAGCCATTATATAGCCGGGACTCAGGCCGTCAGAAACCACAACTTCTTTGATCTCGCTACAGAAAGTGCGACTTGAGTTATCAGTTTGTGGTGCCAGTGAACCGTATCAGCAGACATCTCAGATTCAGCATTCCAGGTAAGGTATATTAAATTGATCAGATCCACGTTTCTCAGAATCACAGCTACTATGATTTGATCTCTTAATAGACCGGTAGTAAATACGTACAACCGGATTCAATCTTATAAAGTTTGGTATTTCTCCCATAGCCGTGTACACATTGCCCAATACATTTGAATTCTGGCATAAAATGACGAGGCAATAGACGAACACTCATGTGTTTCTGTAGCAACAGTTCACAATATTTCCCAAGGCAAGATGCTGAACCAATATCTATTACAGTTATTTACTTACTTATCACAAGTCATTGTTTACTGCTAAATTTACAAATAAATGATTATGTGAAAAATAATTACATAAAAAAGGTGCTAAAATTTGGTATTCGGAGCACCAAAATGACCCTATATGAATGGGTTAACCGTCTTGTCTTTGTACCGACAATAAGGTAGGAGGTAGGGTCTGCATTAAATATTGTTCTGAAGCAGTGTCAAGTAGTTCATGGATAAATAGGCTTGAGGTGTGAGACATTTCGTTTCAACATGAAAAATTCGAAGTACAGGAAAAATTACTTCGCAGTTTCGAATTGCATGAAAATAAATCTACAGAACGCAGGAGACCTGAATGCACTAACAGGCAGCGAACATCAGATACGCGGAGAAAAGTCCCAAATAAAAAGTACTTTAAGAAGAAGCTGACTACTCAAGATATGAACAAATCAGCAGTAAGGAGGTTGGTGTATGACGTTTATTTTTTACCTCAAATTAAACGGCAGAACAATTAGTGAACAAAGAATTGCAATCGATGTTCAAGGAAGCGATCGTGGTCAACTTTGAAGCGATGTCCCAGCATTCGCCTGGAGAGACTGAGTAAAACCTCTAAAAATCCCACTATAGTCAATGCTCCGGTTGGGATTCGAACCGGGCACCTTTAGTATACAAGACACAATTGTTACCGCTTTAACCATCTGGCTCGGTGTAAATTTATATAAAAATTAAGTACGTACATGACGGTGCCTCGTCACCAGAATGCAGGACAAAACCGTAACATAAATATAAGTAACAGATTCTGTGCAAATGAAGCACAGTTAAAATATTTGAAAATGACAGTAACAAATGAGATTGCATCTACACATAAATTAGGAACATATTAAATCTGAGGAATGCTTGGTATGAATCAGTTCAGAATTCTTGTCTTCCTGTCTGCTACCTAATCTAAGAACGTAAAGATTAAAATATACAGCCCCATCATTTTGTCTGCCGTTTTGTAGGGATGCAAAATTAACTGGCTTTCAAGTCAAGGGAAGAACACATACTGATGGTGCTCGAGAAAAGATTCTGAGAATATTTGGACCTGAAGAGGGAAGTAGTAACAGGTGGCTGTAATCCTGACTACTTATTACAATTATAATGATGAAATGGGCAGAGATTGTAGCATGCAATGGACAGAGAAAGAGTGCATACAACGGTCTGCTAGTATAATAGTATAAGGAAAATAGACCATTAGGAATATAAAAACATAGATATGGGAATAATATTAAAATTCATCTCGAAGAAATAGGTTGGAAAGTTGTGGACTGAATTAATTTGGCTCCGGATAGGGACCTCCGATTTCCATGAAATGCTGGGAATTTCCTGATAGTTGAGCCACTATTAGCTTCTCAGGAGGGACTTCGCACCTTGAAGCTAGATAGCCTGGTACTGGGCATTGTTATCTGAGATAAAAGGTAAAGTTGTACTTGTGCTTAACTAAGCACTACGCCATGAAAGCGTGAGGGGGAGTGGATTTATATATAAACTTTTCTTGACTTCGTCAGTAGCTGGAGGAGAGTGGTTAGCTTCAAGCCATTGCCGCTTTATCCCAGGAAAAAGAGTCCCAAGTATCCCTGGGGTAGGCCCCAGAGACGGTCTGGACGACGGGGAGAAGAGAAAATCCTTGACCCTACCGGAACTTAAACTCCGACCCCTCGGTTGTCCAGCCCGAAGCCAGTCACTATACCGACTGCGCTATCCCCGCTCCTATTTTCTGAGATAACAATGGTAAATTGATAAGGTGCATTTTGTCTCTGAAATAATTACATTAAGAAAATGATATGATGTTTCAAATCTGAAGTCATAAAACGTCTGTTCAAGAGGCTTTAAAACCGACTGACGGATAAAGACGACGAAAAATGTTAGAGTTGAAAAATATGTAATAGCAACAGATGAACCAAAGATAAAACGATCAATTTTAATTCTTGTAACCGGTACAGGCCAAGAGTTCAGCCGGTATTGTTCATGATGATGTATTTTAGAAATAATATTTACTATTAAGCAATTTTACGATCACAGTGGCCACGTGGCTTAAGGCATGAACTGTCTTCGCTCGCTCGAACACTGCGGTAGTGACTCCGAATCCCACTCAAGGCATGGATGTCTGTGTGTCTGTGTTTATTCTGTGTTTGTGTTGTCCTGTGTAGGTAGCGGCCTTGCGACGGGCTGATCCCCCGTCCAAGGAGTCCTACCGACTGTCCATAGAAACTGAAGTGAAACGAAGCGTTTCACGGATGCCCTATGCTCCAGATGGAGCAACAGGAATATGAATGAATTAAGGAATTTAATCTTAACCTGTTTACCAAAGTGTATTAACTGCTATTATTAATTAATCAGTTCATTACTTACTATATCGGCAAGGTAAAAAGAAAATGTAAAGCTCTCCCTGTAACACGCCGTGGAGGTCTATACGGTTGTGAGAGGAAGAGGCTCCCACATTTACTAGACAATTGGCTCACAGATGGCGGTGAGGTTGTCAGCCTTACGCGCCGGCCGCCCTTTTACTCACCAGGAATATTCCTGGTACTGATTTCTGTTAGAGGCTGAGTCGACCCCAGGGCCATAGTGCGGCTGGAAGGATTAGGTCAATTGAAAAATATCCAGTGACTTCATCGGGAACTGAACCCGAGACTTACCGGCTTGCAGCATAGTGCCTCAAGCAACTACGCTACCGGCTGCTCCATATTATATCTGCCATTTGCATTTTATTTAATACAGATTATTGTATTCAAAGCAGTGTAAATAAAATAATGCACTGAATAATTAGCACAAGATGCGTGTATAATCTGTAAATTACATAATATTTAATATCGAATTAGGTAGCTCTAAGTCAATAAGTTGAATAAATACTAATATTGCTGAAAGCTGCTTCACTGTACAGACATTAACGCAATTTGTTTGAGACTCCAGTAATATTACTACCAATGACTGCAGCAAGTAATGACGTCACTAATACGTCAAAGAAGTAAAATATTATATTCGACAAATCTATGCAGGAGAAAGCAGACAACGTGGAACAGTGTGTACACAGCATGGGATGCACATTTACTGAATTATATTACTCAAAGACGGTGATTAGTACAAAAAATGCATTGTATTATTTTTATTTTTTATGTTAAACCCTTTTCAATTCTGACTCACAAATAAGAAACCTATATAGAGCTCTGGTTGGAAAATATACTGAAAAGCGGCCACATGAAAGACGGAAGGGATGCGAACATTAATTTAATACGGATCCTATGAAGCTAGATTTTAAGTGGGAGTAGTATATGAAACTGTTTCTGGGTAATGTCCTATGGAAAGCTTGGATATCAACAGTGTTGAACCTTAGGTTTTTACTATACACAGTCAGCAAATTTAAAGGAGCACAATAATAAATTCACTCATACACTTGCTCAAGATGGAGAAATCTATTAGTACACTACATTTATTTATGGTTTGTGTAAGAAGGCAGTATGTAGCTGACACTACAGAGCTCGAATGGTAAGACAATGAATAATGAATTCTAAAGGGCGAAGAAAGAAGTGGTTGTAACCTAATTTGGGGTACGACACCGGAGTTTCCCTAGAGGCACTGAGAAAACCAGGAAAACCATCAATCAGGAGGGTCTGTAGCCATCTGCTCACACGCTGGTTCCTTCTTTCGCGGATTTTTATACCATGAAGATGGAAGCGATACGTACCTCCGAAATGTCGGTTCACACAATATATACACAGCGCCATATCCCAGAAAACAGCATTCTTCAAATTAAAGAATGCATACAATAATGCATATGCATATTATAAAACTCAGTGAAGAGGGTCAAAAGACGAACAGAAAATATGGCTTGTTTATATTTCGGGTTTAGAGGTCATTTTAAGCGAACGAGTCAAAGCAGGCACGCTGTAGCCTTCTTGATGAGAGCATAAGAACATTCTGGTTAAGGCTGGATATTTATTCAGATCTCCCACATTCTGTAACAGAGTGCATATAAACCTCATCGCGAGTGTTATGCATGGTTTACAATGTTATATCTTGAAAGCTGAGGTTCTTCTTGTAGCGAAGACAAATGATATGGTCTTCTGAGTTACAACACCGTGGAATTTAATAGGTGGGTACCAATGTTTCGGAGGAAAATATCTCCATCTTACTGTTGCCCTAGCGATATATCGTTATCGATTATGAACATATGGTGTATTCTGGGTAAGCAAACATATAACGCTTGCCCAGTGTTGTAGGTAGTCTACACTGCAGGAGAAATCAACAAGGGGATCTGCTATGGAATTAGAAAGCCAGATTAGCTTTGGGATCATGGGAATGGGGAGAGAAGTAAAAGGTCAGCAACGATTTCAGTAACCCACAATGCAGGTCAGTTGAGCCTCCTTTCTCATCCGTGCTGATTAAATCAAAGAAAAAGCATCCAGCAATGAGCAACACTACATTACAAATACATGTCATATTAATCTGCCGATAAATGCTAAATAACATAGGTAAATGTAACATCACATTCTAATATGTTAAGAAATCATGCATATGGAAATTTGTGATCGTGCAGAATAATGCGCTGGTGAGTATTCGCGATCTGAAACATCGGATACCAGAGAACTAGATACCTGGTTAGCCAATTCAAATATGCGTAAAAGAACGAATCTTGTTCCTATCCAACCGAAGGCTGCCCCAATACCATAAGCATTCCATACAGATCTGAATATGTAAGTCTGTGCCCCCATA